GGGAAACCCCGCTTACAGCTGATGACTCATAGGCTGTTAGGGACTCGGCGCCCACCCATTCCTTAACAACCCATGACAGTACTGACAGATACCAGTACATACCGCAAGCCTGGACCACTACTTAATTACCGCATGCATTTAATTATTTATTTCCTTTTGCGAGTTGACTTTAAGGTCTTTTTATACAGTATTTACGGAGTGTTTTTGCTATTTTCGGTAAATACCACATACTAGCAATAGTGAATTGACATTTTCAGTATTGCATGCGATATGTGGTTATGTGACTGACTTAACTCATGCGATAAACTTTAGTGAATTATGCCCAGAGTTACTCCAAATAGTCAAGTAATAATGTAGTAATGTACAGTATTTGGTGCATAGAAATGAATTAAAGCCAAAGTCTATATTTAACCTTCCCTGGTTCCTCCCTCCTTTCCTCATCAACATACTAATAAAAATGAGAAAAACAGAAACTCTCTATGTAAATGTAAATTGACAGTGCAATATTACATTACATACCTTATTATATACCAAATCATGTCATATCCAGATCTCTTTATGTAATGCAGGCAGATCATGTGTGGTGGGAGAGGCCCTAAGCCCTTAGGCCAGAAGTGGGCTAGCTCTTACAGGAGTAATACATTTTGTGTGGTTTTTCAGTGATACCAGCAGAGAATGTAAGTACAGTGGGGCAAAAAAGTATTTAGTCAGCCACCAATTGTGCAAGTTCTCCCACTTAAAAAGATGAGAGAGGCCTGTAATTGGCATCATAGGTAGACCTCAACTATGAGAGACAAAATGAGAAAACAAATCCAGACAATCACATTGACTGATTTGGAAAGAATTTATTTGCAAATTATGGTGGAAAATAAGTATTTGGTCAATATCAAAAGTTCATCTCAATACTTTGTTATATATCCTTTGTTGGCAATAACAGAGGTCAAACGATTCCTGTAAGTCTTCACAAGGTTGGCACACACTGTTGCTGGTATGTTGGCCCATTCCTCAATGCAGATCTCCTCTAGAGCAGTGATGTTTTGGGGCCGTCGCTGGGCAACACGGACTTTCAACTCCCTCCAAAGGTTTTCTATGGGGTTGAGATCTGGAGACTGGCTAGGCCACGCCAGGACCTTGAAATGCTTCTTACGAAGCCACTCCTTCGTTGCCCGGGCGGTACGTTTGGGACCATTGTCATGTTGGAAGACCCAGCCACGTTTCATCTTCAATGAGCTTGCTGATGGAAGGAGGTTTGCACTCAAATACATATTTTCACAATCATGCTGTACAAACCTACAAACATATGGTAGTACTGGCTTAGACCTGCCTGAGGCCTCAGTATGCAAATGTCTCCATCATTATTGCAATACAGGCAACCACTTATTGGCTTCTTGCTGGGGAGATGAAGGAAGGGATTTATATGCGTTACAACAATCCAGCATCTCTAGGAGCAGTTTTATTTGCTGCAGACCATATACTTTTACCACTGGGTGGCTCAAGCTGAAATCACATATCTAAGAAAGCAAGGGATGCCAGAATTCTTCTGTTCTTCTATGACTCAGGTCTTACATGTGGTGTAGGAGAGAAAGACACACAAACAGCCTGGATATTTAAAGTGAATGTCTAGAAAACACATTTTTTTTTTTTTAGTTTTGGATACAGTGGGAAGGGTCTAGACCCTCTGTCAAGTTGTTATTGCTCTCTGTGTCCAGTTGTGGAGATGTGCCCCTCTGTTTGTACTGGTGACCAATGTCACCAGGTAAAAAGTAAAGAGAAATCCAGAAATTTAAGCCCCTTTCATATTATCAAAAATGCGTAGTGAGAACAAGTGTTCTCTCTACGCATTTTTGACATGTGATTTTCACATGATTCTGTATGTCACATAGGGAAGCTCATTCACTTGAATGGGCCATCCTACATATGTTTGTTGCCCAAAAAGAAGCTCCTGCTCCTTTGTTAACAACAAGCTTCACAAGATTTTTAAAGGAACATTTTGCTGTGAATGCTGCAGGATCCCGTCATTCTACAATTACGTCAGAATCGCATTACTTTTGGGGTGTCATTAAAGGACAATGGAACACGATTTGGGACCGTAGTCAGAATTGCAGCAATTCCGCCCATGATCCCAAATGACAAATGTGAATTGAACCTTATAGTTGTCTTTAGAACAAATGGTAAGGGGAAATCTTCAAATGGAGACACCTGATCCAGCGGAATGCCTCTCATTTTGTGTGATTTGCTCTCATTTGCTTTTCTGGAACTGGAAGTAAATTGAAATTTCACCAATGGACTACTACAGTGATTTTTTGCATCCCCAGCGGTCTTCCGGATATCATATAAAGATACTTACAATATGCTAAACTGAACCAAAGCAAGTATGGAAATATAATTCCTGGCATTTTGCTTTAACCCTTGCCTACTTTCTCCCAAAGTACAAAAAGAATTTTGGATATGCATACCCATTATCCTTCTTGCATAACAGGAACTGATAGAGCCATGAGAGCCCCACAAAGCAGTAACAATTTTTCTTACAGCAAGAGTTGTTACTTATTGAAACACTGCTTCCTGCAGTTCTCTAATTGCACGCTACAAGAGAATATATGATCCTGTGCTAGTAAAATGCAAATTCAAATTTCAGCACCTACAGTGCATATGCATTACATATCATTGCCTAACATTATTTACTATCTTTGCCATATGTTCATGCTCTGGATTTAGCTCAGCACTGTAATGTACATATGTAGCCTTACTATTGCTAGTTACTGGCACAATCTGTCTCAGTTTTAGAAGCTCATTTTCATCTTCCTTTTAGTAACTTAGTAAATGTTTTCATTTTTAAAGGTATTATTTAACTACTTTCCAACCGCAGATAGCTGAATGACAGCTACACTGCGGCCAGCCAGCTCTGGGAGGGTGTCATATGACGTCCTCCCAGAACGCGCTCTCCTGTGCGCCCCCGGGGGCGCGCCCCCAGCGATCTCCATGATCGCTGTGTCCTACGGACACAGCTGATCACGTGATGTGGTAAAAGGCTAATCACAGCAGCCTTTTACCACGTGATCAGCAGTGTCCAATGACACACTGATCACAGGAAATGCAATTGCCGGTTCTCGGCTGCACTTTCTTCATGCTTTCAGAGCGAGAGGAAAGTACTGCCGAGAACCGGCAGTTGTCAGAGCAGGGATCGGCACCTATCATCAGGGCACTGATGATCAGTGCCCTGATGATCGGTGCCCAGCAGTGCCACCCACCAGTTCCGCCCATCTGTGCCCAGCAGTGCAGCCACCTGTGCCCAGCAGTGCAGCCACCTGTGCCCAACAGTGCCACCCAGCAGTGCCACCTACCTGTGCCCAGAAGTGCCACCCACCTGTGCCCAGCAGTGCCCATCAATGCAGTGCTGCCAGTCAGTGCCACCAGTCAGTGCCCAGCGGTTGTGCCAGTTAGTGCCCAGCAGTTGCACCAGTCAATGCCTAGCAGTAATGCCAGTCAGTGCCACCTATCAGTGCTGTCTATCAGTATCCATCATCAGTACCGCCTATCAGTGCCACTTATCTGTGACACCTCATTAGTGCTGCCTATCAGTGCCGCCTATCCATGCCACCTCATTACTGCTGCCTATAAGTGCCCTTCTGCCCTTCAGTGCTGCCTATCAGTGCCGCCTAGCAGTGCCCATCAGGGCTGCTTCATCAATGCACATTAGTGAAGGAGAAAAATTACCTGTTTGAAAAATGTTATAATAGAAACAAAGAAAAAAAATTTTTTTTTTCAAATGTTTTGCAATTTTTTTGTTTATAGCGCAAAAAGTAAAGCACCCAGCGGCGATTAAATACCACCAAAAGAAAGCTCTATTTGTGAGAAAAAAATGATAAAAATTTCATATGGGTACAATCTTGCATGACTGCGCAATTGTCAATCAAAGTGCGACAGCTCTGAAAGCTGAAAATTGGCCTGGTAAATAAGGGGGTATAAGTGCCCGGTAGGCAAGTGGTAAATGTATATTTTATTTCTTAGTTGGGGTCACAACTAAAAAAAAAAATTAGACATACATTTCTTCCAGGTGAATAAGACATAGAAATACCAGGGAGTTTCACAAAAAGTGGAGTTGGGTTTTAGGCAAGCAAGGTAATTGACGAAAAGAAGTATGTGAGCCTCTTTCAAAAAACTTGGTGTCTCTGTGTCTCCTGTGGATGGTGCAGGTTTAAGTGTGGATACAAGAAACCAAAGGTGTTCAAGTCTTCACCAAGGCAACCCTCACAGGTCATTAGACTTGTTTGGTTGAGTCCCCAAAGGGATTGGACCCTTAGACTCACCTCCTCCACTCTTCCTACCACTCCATCCCCCACAGCTATTTCCTCCTGTACCACTATCCCCTCCCTCCTAGATTGTAAGCTCCAAGGAGCAGGGCCCTCGAACCCCTCGTGTATCGCATTGTATTGTTATTGTTCTGTCACATGTTCTGTCTCCAATTGTAATGTACAGCGCTGAGCGAACTATTGGCGCTTTATAAATACTGTATAATAATAATAATGTTGGAATTATCTGACCATGAGTACAACCGGTAACAAAGTGCCAAATGGTCAGGAAAATGCAAAGTTGGGAACAGACCAGAGGTTGGGGCTGGCAACTAGCAAGACAGTAATCACAGACCAGAAGGTCATAACCAGGTAGTCAGCAGCATAGCCGGAATTTGGAGTGAGGATATCAGGAGGAGTAGGGTATCGAACATAGAATAAAGGAACAACGTACTGATAGCAGGGTAAACATCAGGTCTCCGGAACAACAGGAACCTATTTGCTGAAGATGAGCACATATGTAGTAACTGTTCACAGCTACACCTGGAAAGTTGTAAATGACTAGTATGAACTAAATTCGGATAGATGCCTCTGGATCACTAGAGAGCAGGGGGGGACTGACAACTCATGGGGCCCCCGGGCAATAGGGGATCATGGGGCCCCTGTGTCCTTGCCCACACTCAAAGCACACCCAAAAAAAGCCTATAAAAGGTACCAGGGGCATTTCATGGGGCCCCCTACTGACCCCGGGCCCTCGGGCAGAGCCCGAGTGCTCAAATGGTCAGTCCGCCCCTGCTTGAGAGCAGTATAATGTATTACCTTAAACCACTAGATGGTACGCCATGAGGAAGACTCAAGATCAGGAGAAGGTTTCAGGAAAGTTGCAGGGTTTGAGTAAGGGGAAGCCATGACACAGGGTAATTAACATCAGCTATCAATGCATCGCACATTTCGGTTCAGTTTAGGTATGACCAAACTGGTGTAATTTGGACTGCCCTGACTTATAAAAAAAACCACACCATTTAGGTTACATGCATGTCACAACAGAATTCTGTTAATATACAAGGCTCAGTAAAAGAGATTTCAGAGAAGATTTTTCAAAATAAGGCTGCATGTTTTGTTGAATTACTTTTGAAGAGTAAAACTTTTATCATTCCTGGTTCACAAACATTTACCTCCTCACTGTATGCTAAAATGACTGTACAAGGAATTTAATAAAAGAAAAGCACTTACAAACCAACAGTGGTAAAAGCATATGGGTTTGATATTGTTTCCAACCGACAAAATGGCCACGAGACGTGGCATGATGATGTCAGAGGACGTAGCTCCCTCCTACGCGTTTCATCATAAATGGCATCAGGGGCTTTTATGATGAAACACGTAGGATGGAGCTATGTCCTCTGAAGTCATCATGCCATGTATCGTAGCCATTTTGTCGGTTGGAAACAATATGAAAACCATATGTTTTTTACCACTGTTGGTTTGTAAGTGCTTTTCTTTTATTAAATGTTGCTTTTCCTTAATACTATGCCAAGAGGAGCCTTCATTTCTCTCTTACATGCATCCTATTGTCCTGAGATGGTTTAATAGAGTAAATCTTCATGTTACTAACTGAAGAGTTGTCCTTTGGTGGAGAAACTCTATGGTTCCATATTTACATGCCTATGCTTTTAAAGCACTATTTGATATACCGTATTTGCCGGCGTATAAGACGACTGGGCGTATAAGACGACCCCCCTACTTTTCCTGCTAAAAATGTAGTGTTTGGGCTATACTCGCCGTATAAGACTACCCCTCTTCCAATGCACACCAGTGGGAGGAATAGTGCCCCATCATTGATGTCAGTGGGAGGAATAGTGCCCCATCATTGGTATCATTGGTATCAGTGGGAGGAATAGTGCCCCATCATTGGTGTCAGTGGGAGGAATAGTGCCCCATCATTGGTATCAGTGGGGGGAATAGGTGCCCTATCATTGGTATCAGTGGCAGGAATGGTGCCCCATCATTGGTATCAGTGGCAGGAATAGTGCCCCATCATTGGTGTCAGTGGGAGGAATGGTGTGCCATCATTGGTGTCAGTGAGGGGTGGAATAGTGCCCCATCATTGGTGTCAGTGGGGGGTGGAATAGTGCCCCATCGTTGGTGTCAGTGGGGGGGGGAATAGTGCCCCATCGTTGGTGTCAGTGGGGGGGGAGGAATAGTGCCCCATCGTTGGTGTCAGTGGAGGAATAGTGCCCCATCGTTGGTATCAGTGGGAGGAATAGTGCCCCATCATTGGTATCAGTGACACCAATGATGGGGCACTAATTCCTCCCACTGAGACTTGCTGACCCTGTTCTCGTATGGTGCTGCTGCAGCCAGCATATGTGGTTGCAGCAGCACCTCTACACAGAACACTTACCTGCTGCTCCGGCACTCAATTTTTCGCGGGGCCGCTCGGCTCCGCCCCCTCGCCGGTGATTGGTCGCCTGTGTGCCTTTCCTGAGCTACAGTTCTGGCGGCCAATCACCGGTGAGGAGGCGGAGCCGAGCAGCCGCACGAACATCCAGTGGCCGAACTGAAGGAGACGCCGCGCTTCCTGGACCGGATCGTCGTGGGACTGGATCCAGGTAAGAGACATCAGCCCCTGCAAACCCCTGTACTTAATGCCGCAGCCCCCCTAAACATGTGTACCGGCGTATAAGACGACCCCCGACTTTTGAGAAGATTTTCAAGGGTCAAAAAGTCGTCTTATACGCCGGCAAATACGGTACTATCTTTCTGGAGTGAGCTGTGTAGGTGCCTTCAGGTGGAGAATATACTTGGTCCATCTGACTGGCCATAAATGCTGTATATGACTGCATGACCTGTGGTCTTACCCTCTGGTAAGAGGCTGTGTATGGTGTTGGTGGAGGATTTCTTCTCTCCCCCTTTGGGGCAACTCATCGCTTTTCTTTTCCATGTGATATATGGACGATTTCATCACAATTCTAAGGACTGTTTTCCTTTAAGATTTGTCTTTCAATTATAATGTTTATGTTGGTTATGAGAGATTAAGCGCTACATTTTGTACAGATATCAATTTTATTGTCGCTGGCAATTTCATGTTACCTGCTCTATCTTCTCTGTGATTCAGACATTTAGTGCAGAATTTCTATGTGTTTTACAGCTTATATATATATTGCACATTCACATCAGTCCCTAACCCTCAAGGGGTGTACAATCCCTAACTTACATTCATACACTAGTTCCAATTTAGACAGGATCCAATTAACCTATCAGCATGGCTTTGGAGTGTGAGAGGAAACTCATGCAGGAACATGCAAACTTCAGGCAGGTGGTGCCATGGTTGGGATTTGAACCAACAACCCTGGTGCTGCCAGGTGGAAATGCTAGCCATTTAGCCACTGTGCTGCCCTTATTGCACCTCTTCACCTTGCTTTGAGAGATTTACTCTCACTTCCTGTTGTGCCTCTGGGACAAGAAATTAGGAAAATCTACCCCAATGGATAGCAAAAAAACCTGGTTTTAATTAACCCCTATTCTATCCAAAACAAACAAAATAGCTATGGTTAACCTTTAATAGACCACACACTTTTTACAAAGGTAAAATGATTATGTTTTGTATTCTAAAATAAACAATTACTCAATTCAAAATATTTTGTTACATTTAAGTTTCATTTTTTTATTTTTATTTTATTTTTTAGTAATTAAAACATGTAAAACAACGTGTTAGAGAAGCGATCCAGTGGCGCGATAGATAATATTTATTCTTTTTTTCTTCCCTCTGGTTTGATTTGTTTACCATCTGGGGCCTGGTCTTGTGTAGGCAGACCTTATTATTAGTAAGTCACAGGATGGACAGGCCCCAGGGGTGCAGGGTTGGTGGCTCTGTAACCACAAGCAGCAGCTGCTCTCCATCCTCTACACCCTTTATGTGCCGGAGACAAAGCAACACCACCAGGCGGACACCCAGCTCAATTCACAAAGCTTTAACAACAAACATACAGATCTACAGCACATTGCAGCCATGTAACTGTCACTTTTTATAAAATGGTGCGCTAGGCTGAGGATTTTTTCTTTTTTCACGATTAATCAGTGATACAAATAGCTAATTCAAACAAATAACAGCGATTTGTAGCTAGCAATTTATTTCCTAGTGTCCCTGTTGATTTGCTACAGCATTGGGTTGTGTTCCGATATAAATGGCTCTCCTTCAGCGATTTGTAGCTAAGCATAGCGATTGCAGCAACATTTCATAGAAAAGCCTTAAAACAGAACTAAATGCTTTTTAGAACAGACTGCAAGTAGGCAGTAGGGTTGCCACCTCATCGCTTTAAAACCGAACACATATTCATTACACGGGTTCTGGGGCTGATTAAGGTGGCAATTAAACTCACCTAGTGCTTTATCTGCATTAAATTAACCCCAGAACCTGTGTAATTAATATGTGTTCAGTTTAAAGGGATGAGGTGGCAACCCTATTAGGTAGTCTATTATTGCAGAAGAGACATGCAATATCTCTTCTGCAATAAAATACACTAACCTGTCTGCTCACAGTCTTCTGTGGCTTGTAAACCGAGCTGCACATGTCCATGCTGTCATCCCACACCGGCCAATGGAGATGCTTGAAGATTGTCATCTAGGGAGAAGGTGATGATGCCGATGAGGGACCCCAGCCATTAGAGAGGAGGTAAGTTTAGTTCCACTTTAAGTGCAAGTTTTGCTATTGATTTTTTCACTGAGCTGAAATTCTGATGAATCTCGATCGTTGAAAAACAAAGCGACAAATCTCTAAATATGCTACTGGTAGTGATCCCCAAAAAAAACAAAAAACAAAACATTATTATTTTCCTAGAAACAAATAGCTGTAGGGGGGGGGGTTAATAATCGCTGTGAGAGATTCATCAGCTCATGATGACCATACATGCTTCGGTTTTATTCAATGTGCAGTTCCATCAACATGATTAAATGGAGAAACAGATGTAACACCCCGGTTGCACTGGGTGCGACTTGGCATGTGATCTGCATGCCATGTAACTTGCAAATCGTATGCCAAGTCGCACCCTATTGTCCGCAATTACAGCGGTCAAATCGCTGCGGTTCTGACTTGGTCGGAGCTGCACCGATTTCTATAGTACATGCAATACTGTTCGTGCAATTTGCACAGATATCTGTGTCAGATGTCTTGCAAATAGCACCTGAAACCAGCAGTCCCGCGACTTTGAAATTGCACGACTTCACTGAAAGTCGCACCATTTCAAAGTCGGACTTGTGCGACCCTAGATTAAAGGTACAACTTCCCTTCCAATTGATTCAGACTTGATTTAGATCAGAGGGCAGAAAATAATCAACCATATGGCATCGATTAGCAGCACTGAGTTGCTTTGGTCATGAATTCAATTGTATATCAATTGATCTGATTAGTGCATGGTAAAGTGCATGGTGAAAACAGAGATGTGCTTGATAACGTGTCAATAAGTAGAAGCTCCTCTTGTTTGCCTCCTCCCCCCCCCTTCACTGCTATATTTGGCACCTTTTTGACAAGAACCCGCTCCCACTTCCGGCTCAGATCGCTGCGACAAAGTGAGCCAGAAGTTCGGACCCCTCCTTCCTCCCGCAGTCTCCTGGGAACTTTCACAGGTTCCAGAAGACTTCCAGACCAATCAAGAGGCGCAGCACGATTCGCACATGCGCAGTGGGCACCCGGCTGTGAAGCCGCAAGCTGTCACAGCCTGGTGCCCACAGTTGAGATGCTGGCGCCGTGGAGAGAAGAAGAGAAGGCACAGCGTGGGTGAGAACATCGCTGGACTCTGGGACAGATAAGTG